AAATAATTAACGCACATGGTGAGAGAAAATCACTTCCTAATCATTTATCTCTCCGAATATTAAACATGTCTTGATTTAAGCTAAATAACCGCAAGCAGAAAAGAAGAATTGAAACAATATATATATACAATATATGTTAATCAACATCTTGAATTCGAAAAAAAATCGTCCAACCGCCAAATATATGTTAAGATATACAGTATATATACAATATATAAACATGATCTAACAATATTCTAATATTAAACAACATGTAAACAATATGTAAATTAACCGTATAATTATACATAAAATAAACAACATGTAAACAATACTACGGGATAAAACATGTAAACAATACTACGGGATTTCACACACTTCACTTCAATTTTCATTCATTTTAAAAATACCTAAAACAAACATAACAAAACTACACACATCAATATGTCCCACAAAGTTATTACATTAACCACACACAAATCAATCATACAAATAACAACCCAATATGTCTTGCTTTACAAGTTGCTGTTATGGACGGTGTTATCTTGTTTAACCAGGCGGCGAATTTGTTTTTCCTTGGCTCCAGCTCTGTGTATGAACCAGCGCTCAAGGAGAAACATTCTTTACTTAAATTTTCTCCTTCAATTTATGTTGTACTGAGGATTCTGTATACAATTTGACATATATTGTAAAATATGGTTAAGGTTATTAATTCTTGGCTGGAGCCCAAAAAAAATAAAAAATAATAAACATGAATTAACTTTAGCTTTACTAAGCTGATCACAAACTGGGATCTTATCCATTTTTCTTGAATATGCTAAAATTGTTTGAAATTATAAATTTCTCCTTTGGAAAACCCATCCAGAAGTTGAACCATAGCATTCACTCTACAACCAATCCAAGCCCCTAGGAAAGAAAATAAATAAAAACAAAACAAAATCCTAAAATCAAGTCACTTTTGGCCTATGCATGATGATAAATTTCCTCCTACTAACACCATCCATATTCCCACCAATCTTAGCCAACTGTGCCATTCTTCTCTTGGCCGACTCCGCAATCCCACCAATCTTTCAAAGTCTCAACCCCCTTACTCATCTCCAGCCGGTCCCTTGTACTTTTCACCAAACAACCATCAACCAATTTAGCCATTTTGCGAGTCGCACTAAAAGAGTACTCTTTATCTTGCCTCGGGTCGATTATGGTGCTGAACTCGTTATCCAGTAGCACGTTTGACGCCTTGAAATTCCGGATATGACCTAATGCATTATTTAAACAAATGACAAAAACGAAAATGACTTTCGAAGTTTAGACAAGGATCCATAAAAAATAAATAAAAAAAAAACAATAAATAATGAAGCTCAAATTCGCACAAATAACAACATTACTCAATCAACTAAGATTTTTTAACAAATTCAACCCACAAACAACATTAAAACTCAATCCACGAGCTTCCCGTGTGCAAAAATAGCTAAGGCCATTTTCTTTATGTAATTTTCAATATCTTCTTTAGTCGGATTCTTCAGAAAGACGTCCCCAAATGTACATGCATGCCAATACACCACAAATGTTAGTATCGTTCTATACTTGGCATAATTTTGATTGTTAAAGTGGCAGATGTAGGTTTCTTGAACAAGAAACGGGTTTTTTGAACAAGAAACATGTTATTTTGTCACTCCAGTTGCAAGCCTTATTCTATCGCCAACTCCAACCATGACCCTAAAATTCATGAAACAATACGTTATTTTTTAAATACTTTCTAGTTACTGAAAAATAAAATATTTAAAATTAAAGACAGGTTTCTTGTCCAGAAACCACAAGAAACATATTTCTTGATCAACAAACTGGTTTAATGCTAGTTTCTGCTCAAGAAACATGTTTCTTGCTCAAGAAACAGGTTTCTTGTCTGTTTCTTGAGCAACAAACACAAACAACTGAAGTTTATTCCTCAAGAAACCGTTTTCTTCAATGTTTTAAGTTAAACAAACAACTTCTTCAACGTTTGAGCAAAGAGACAGATTCTTGAGCAAAAGACAGGTTTCTTGTCAAGAAACAGATTTCTTGACAAGAAGCATGTTTCTTGCTCAAGAAATCTGTTTCTTGTCATGTTTCTTGAACAAAAAAACTGAAGTTTTTTCACGTGAACTACAAAACTTATTCTTGAGCAAAAAACATCATACCTCATTAGCGGTTGTCATCTCGTCGTGTCCCAAGAATAGCGCCTCAAAGAGGTAAGAGGTTTGTAT